GTGTACGAGCTCATGACATCCAGGACAATTGCAAGTATGATCTTCTCAGGGAGGTGGTTGATGATCAGGAAATCTGTGGTATCTTGTAGAAAACGTTATATTTGAGTGACAAGTGGTTTCAGGTAGTTTCTATGAATCCTGATAGCTTTTTGAGTGATGATATCCAGCACAGTTGAATATGATGGGTCTGCCAGGGTTACTTTGTTTGTGGATCTTTGGGAGCGTATAGAAAGTTCTTGGGTGAGAGAATGAGAGATAAGTGGAAGTCATTTTCCTGAACTTGGCACAGGAAGGATTTGATCTTTTCCAGTTCCAAAATGAATTCTGATGTGGCATCCTCCCCAAGTTCTTTATACTGTTTGGTATTAGAGTTGTCTGTCGGCTTCATTGATGTAGTCTTGACGAGATATCTAAAGCTCCAGCCTTGTCCATTTGTTTGATTACCATTTCATTTTTCGATCTTGGGGACTGCGGTGGCTCTTCTCTCTGAGGGAGAGAAGTTGTTGCAGTTCTAGATTTGTTAAGAATTTCACTGTTAGCTTTTTTCCTGAAACAGTCAGTATAGGAGTCTGCATCTTCTAATTCTCCACATATTAGTATCTTGCCAGGTTTCCCTCTTTCCCCCTTCTCCCCCAGCCCCATCTCTCCACTGCAGACTCTACTCCCTCACCTGTCCCTATCCCTCCCTTACCCTTGCTCTAAGCTGCAGCCTGGGGCACTGAGCATGGCCCCAGCCCGGCCCCATAACAACATTGTACAGCCCATACACCTGCTGTAGAGGGGAGCAGAGGCTGAAGAGGAAGCAGGGAGCAAAGGGCGGGGAGTAGGGGGAAAGCGGAGGCTGCAGGTGGCAGCAGGGGAGGCAGAAACAGGGGGCAAGCTGCTTGACCTCTCCCCTTTCCGCCCTCCCTGCAATGGTGGGAAGGATGAATTAAAGACAACCCACCAGTAATTAGGTTCTATACATGGAAGATTATAACAAATTAATACATTTTTCATGTATTGGGTCTAATTATTGGAGGGTCACCTTAAATTTGTCCCTGTCCATTGCTACAGCAGGGAAATCAGTGGCAGGGGAGCAAGCAGTGGGGAGGCAAATGGGGAGGGTAAGCAGGCAGCCTAATCACAGCCCTTTGCCCCACCCATGTGCCTGCCCCACTGCTTGCCTTCCCCAGCCACCTGCTCCCCCTCTTCCCTCCCGAGTACTTTGTCCCCTTTGTTACCGGTCCCTTCCCACACCACTGGGGGCCTCTGTTCTGGGTCCCACACCACCCTATGCCCCTGCACCAAGTCCCACATTGCTCCGTGCATTGTTAAGTGGATTCCTCCTGCTGCTTCTAACTGCAGGTACTGCATTTTTACTTGCTTCTAAGATGAGGCTTTGTTTTCCCATTGTTGAATGGGGGATCCTCATCTTGTAATTGAGTAAATACAGTATTTATTTTCTTGCTTAATTGACAGCATATATGCTGTCCCAATGCCTCATTTGTGTAGAAATGACTTGGTATGTCACTGTGTAATTGTTTTATGTATATCACCTGGTATGAAAAGTTCATCAAACTTTTAATTTTTTTTTAAAGCGCATTTTTGTACTTCACATTTCTTCTTTTTTGTACTACTTTAGATTACACAGTTTTTCCCAATAAGTTTTGTAAAAAACAAACAAACAAAAAGTATGTTCCCTACTTCTTTCTGCAATTCAGACAGAAACATGGCACACAAAACCTCAGAGTAAAGGAAAGCTTAGAAAAATAAGCCAACCTCTCCACTGGCACAAAAATAGCTGACTTCAGTGAAATCTGTGCCAGCTTACAACAATGCAAACCTTTTATTCAAAGCAATTCAAGAGATCAGGAGCAAGTCTGAATTCCTAATAAAGCAAGCTACTTTAGAAAATATAATAGTCATTTCTGTCGCACTGGGTGAGTGGTTCTTTTGGGGGTGGAGGGGCAGAAGACTTAATTTTCTAAATTTACTTAATCTTTTATAAGCATTTTTTTGCACTATTGTTTTAATAGTTTGACTTTTTCTAATGAGAGAAGCAAAAATGTTTTAATGGGCTGGGATTTAGCCAGAACTGTTATGTTCTTTAACACAGGCTCCTACTACAACAACAATTTTAAATCACAGATTTAATATGGATGGTCTTCTCCATTTTTTTTTTTTTTTTTTTTTTTCCTTTCCAGTATTACAATACTTCTGTGTTGTCGACCTCAGAGTAGTATAATTTTAAATACTGCAAGACATGTAGGACCCTAGTTCTGTGAAAACCTATGGAGACTGGAATACAATGGGACTACTCATGTGAATTAAACTAGTCACATTCACAAATGTTTGCAGCTTCAGAATCAAAGTGTCTGAACATGAGATCCCCTTACTTGAACAAAAAGTGTACCAGGAATTCTAATGTTCCTTCACCAAAGCTGGCACGTACTTTACAAAATGAATAAATGTTCAGATGAGAGTCAGAGCATGCTGTTTTTTTGCTGTGGGCATTGGTGGCACCTGGGCCCACAGCAGCAGCTACCAATCTTGTGGCTCACTCTTAAGTTGGTGAACAGGACTAGTACCCTGTTCACCCACCCCTCATTACACTGCTGCTTCAGATTAGTGACCTTGTGATAAGTCTTTCTGGGTTACAAATAAACTGATGCCTAGTTGTACTGTTGGACACTTCTACAGGATAGTAAAGCCAACTAGACTTTGTACTATAGGCCAGTAACTGAAGTTTAACACAAGCACTTAATACAATTTATGTATTCAGTGTTTGAATTCCAGCCTCCACCCCGGTCTTAATCAGATTTAGTAGATGCTAAGTACTGTTAAATATTAAACTCCATCAATATGTGGTGGCCTTGATCATTTAGAATTATAATAAATAACATTACTGCCGTATCTAGCAGTGCTTATACTTTCATACAGTTCATGAGCACTTCTGGATAAGGTGGTCATGATACAGGTTTCCCTCAATTTATGCAGTACATGTGTTCCTGGAGAGTGCCACATAAATTGAATTTGCATAAAGTGAACACACTTTATAATGTAAGAAATAGGGATAAGTTCCTGTGTCGGCTGCTCCTGGGGCCGCTCCAGCACAGGCTGGGGTAAGTGTGGACAAGCAGAGCCCCGGGTAGTTCTGGGCACGGCACTCGCCCCAGCCCCAGCTGGAG